TATAATTTCTGCCTCGGGGTTTCAGATGGATCCTAAAAAACTAGGGTCTGTTCTACAGTGGCCTTTACCCACTGGGGTAACCAATTATTACAGAAGATTTATAAAGGGATTTTCTTCAGTAATAGCCCCCATCACCAATATGACACGCAAGGGAGCTAGTAGTACCATATGGTCTAAGGAGGCTATTGAAGCCTTTGAAATTCTCAAACAGCGGTTTGCCTCCCCCGACATATTGATACATCCTGACACCAGTAAGCCTTTCAGACTGGAGGTTGATGCTTCAGAGACAGGGGTAGGGGCAGTTCTCTCCCAGAGGGAGAGCCAGGAAACTCCGTTACATCCTTGTGGCTACTTTTTTAGAAAATTGTCTCCTGCTGAGCGCAATAACGATATTGGCAATAGAGAATTATTGGCCATTATTCTAGCTCTCAAGGAGTGGCGACATCTTTTAGAGGGTTCCAAGGACCCCCTTTTGATCATTACTGATCCCAAAAACCTGGCTTACATAGGAGATGCTAAGCGATTATCTTCTAGACAAGTTAGGTGGTCTTTATTTCTTTCTCGCTTTAATTTTCTTATCACTTACAGACCTGGTTCTAAAAATGTCAAGGCTGATGCCTTGTCCAGGCAGTTTGATACTGAGGCTATACTAGAGCAAGAAACATCCCATATCATTCCCCTGGAATGTGTCATTGACTCCACTGTCCTTTTATTGTCCTCCATCATGGAGGCTCAGTCTCAGGTGCCCTGTGGTAAACCTCAGAACAAACTGTTCGTTCCATTGGGGAAAAGGGTTAATATCATGAAGGTGTTTCACTACAATGTGTCTGCTGGTCACCCAGGTATCCACTTCTGCTATCATGAGGTCATTCTGGTGGGATTCCCTCAGGAAGGATGTTAAGGAATATGTGCAGGTTTGTTCTGTTTGTGCGATTTCCAAAGTGCCTCATAAACTCCCTTGTAGCTTGTTAAAACCTTTTCCTATTCCTGAGGTCCCATGCTCCCACTTGTCCATGGACTTCATTGTTGAACTTCCTAGTTCTAATGGTTATACCACCATTCTCATGGTTGTGGACCGTTTTTCTAAAATGGCTCATTTTATTTCTCTCAAGAAATTGCCGTCATCTCAAGGCCTGGTACTAATCTTTATACGAGAAATTGTCCGTCTGCATGGCATTCCTCACAATATAGTATCTGACAGAGGTTCTCAATTTGTGTCTCGTTTTGGAAGACCTTCAATAAACAATTAGGGATTGAATTGTCTTTTTCATTCTCTTACCACCCCCAGACCAATGGTACAGCTGAGAGTGCTAACCAGTCCTTGGAATTATAATTGCATTGTTTCGTTAATAGCACTCAAGACAACTGGTCCGAATTACTACCATGGGCCGAGTTTCCTAGGAACACTGCTGATCATGACTCCTCTGGGCATAGTCCATTTTTTTTGTTAATAATGGCTGGCATCCTACTGTCCTACCGGCTGTTTTTTCTGATATGGCTATTCCTGCTTTGGATGACCGTCTGGCTTCTATCCGTGATACCTGGGTTAAAATTCAATCTGCTCTGGGTACTGCTGCTGACCATTTCAAGCATTATGCTGATACACGTCGAGGTGCCAACCATGTTTACCAAGTGGGTTTGGTTATCTTCTTGT